TTGTGCGATCTTTTCATCTGTTTTGCCCCACGACAAATTTTTCGATATATTTTTTTTTTTAATTTTGTTCATCCCGAGTGTCGGTGAGAACAGTGTTTGAGAAATCAGAGGTACTGAATAGGGCTGGGCATTTTGAATCGAATAGTAACTTAGAATGATCTAATTCTTATTCATCTATAAGCATAATGTATTTCCCACAACCTATTTTTCGAGTAATATGGCAAAATAATTGAAAATTTACGCACTCAGGCAGAATTGAGACTTGCTCGTGAAGTGCCAACTGCACTGAGAAGTTATTTCAAGTCAATGCGACCAGGTCAACAACTATAAGATTTTTGAACGTGTTTTCTTCCAATCACGATTTATGTAAATCGTGTGCAGCATAAGTAGTGATATCAATCAATCAATCATCTCGTATTTTATTAGCCATCCGGGCAAACTTGCACAATAAAATGGAAGCAAAAATGAAAATATATACTTATTCGTTCCCTTGCTTAAAATAAACAGTTTAACCGCGAAACTAGATAGCGATCAAAGACCGCCGACTCATCGATCGTTAGCAGCGACGAAAGTTAGGGGATCCCCAAATCAGAAATTCCGGTTTTGATTCTTTTGCTCGGACTCAATAACGACACCGCGTGTCTCATTACTAATTGAATAATAACTCGGTAATTATACGACATAATTCATCCAAAATCAATAGGCGTCTGGTCCGAGATATGATGAATGCACATGCAAAATTGGAGCAGATTCAACCTCGCCTTTGTGAGATATCGCGTAACATACGGAAGTGTCTAACAGACAAACAAACAAACAGACAAATACCGAGATCGATAAGTAATGACCATTCGATCTACTTGTCAGTGGCTACCTTGCATATTCATAATAGATTGATATTCATAATACATTGTCCAAAATAAATAAACCGGTTATTAATGAGTTCAATACAAGAAAGGATCTGTTTTTTAAAATTTTGAATACCACTACGAAAAATAATATGGCAATCTACATTTGAATGTGTTTTCTCCCAATTATATCTCAAAACCTTGATTACGAAACTCCAACCGCACGACTTGAAATTGAATTAAATGCTTGAAAAGAAACCGCGCACTTGTGTAACGTGTAATTTACCTGATGGTGATTACAGAGTCTGTCTACACGATTTCCTAAGTGGTCACAAGCTGGCTATCAAGTGTTAGCAAATAAGAGATCAATAATAAATTGATAGACTGATTCAAGCGAGGCCCTTCTTGCGAGGGCTTTTCTAGTGATACTGGAGTTGGGGCCAAAGTCGTGTTTCTAAACTTCTCATAGTGTGGTGGTCGGAGTCAAAATTAAATCTTCAGAATTTGAATCTCAGACTTTTAATTATGCTAATGGAAGTCAGAACTTCTTACAGAACCTCCAAAAACATTATATTGACCAACCATTTTCAGCAGATAAAGAAAGCCTACACACACTAAAGTTTTGTCTCCAAAATTCAGTTTTGTTTGAATTGAGAGTTGGAATCAAAATTTACTTTAACGCGGAGTAAGGATTTGAAGTGATGATTTTGTCACCCGGATTCTGGAATCAAAGCCGAAGTCTTGTCCTAAATGACTCAGAGTTTGGGGTCGGTTTTATCTCGACTCAACAGTCATGGATTTTGGTAGCGTTTATCGTTCATTTCTCTCTACCCTTGAGTCGCAGTTTCTCTGACTTTTTATGATGAAGTAAAAACTCTCAACAATAACTTGAACAGTTGACTAAACATTCCCTATTATAGCATCAGCATCGGTTACAGAAAATTTCGTTCGTTTGCAAATTTTTTTGAATCCCCTGTTCTCTCTAGACTAGAGTCATTACCAAAATGGGATTTAGAATCAGTTCACAAGACTGCAGAATAGTCGTCGTAAACGTATTATGAACGCAGAAATATATATTTAAATTTCTAATATGACAAAAACAGAAGTGGAATCATAGTTGCGTTGCCCTCACCAAACTAAATCGAAATGGCATGCTTGTATTTTTGGGATGGTGAACCTGAGGAAGGCAATTAAAGAATGCCCGCAACAATATCTTCGCACAGCTCTCCAAAATTGTTCAACATTCGGAACTTGAAGCAAAAGTACGAAACAATACAAAACTTTGACACCGATAAGCATAATCTTGGGATAATTATAGCGACCGTAATTCTAATCTCGACATTGACCGCTCTTAGTGTTTTGCTTATGTCACTAAACTGGCAACAGTAACTTTGGGTATTGAACCCTAACCCTTTTGGCGTTGAAGGTAGGACTTCAAAATTTATATCTCACCAATCGGGGTTGTTTAGTATCATTTTTTTATACTGAGTTTACATTCATATTCTATAATTATGTTTTTCCATGCTTCATTTAGTTAATATTAGTCCCTCTAGTGAGAAAGCACTGAACTTTTACCGAATTTTTATTTGATTGCTATTTCAACTTTTTGACTACTTCGTCAACGATTCTCACATGATGCTGTCACGAAGTGAATGATATAATGAAGGAAGCCTCACGTAACTGCTGGTTGGTTACGGCTTCCGCCACCGCAAAGTCTATGTGTCTGGGACAATTAACTGACTAATTCTATCTGGATTCCATTACCCGACCTGGACTAATGATATGGCGAGAGGTCGTAGTTACGAATTACGAGGTCAGGATTTAAACGTCTTATCGACTTTCCTTATTCCGGATTTTTTACAAAAAAAACCTTAGAAGTTCTAGTAGTCTTTCCACTAAACAGTGGACTTTTAATCCTTCAAAGCCCAAAATCTTCTTTACAATAAACAAACAAGGTGGTTAATTGCAGTACAAAGCCGCCGCAATTTCCTTTGTAATGTTTAAGAATGTTTCTCAATCCACAAACTAGATAGGCAGATTCAATGGCTGAAAGTTCTAGAATAGAGGCCTTTCAGGCAAATTATATGTATGGCCCGAACAAGGAAATAAGAACTTCCTGTTTGAGATAAAAGGTCTTTAGAAATATGAGTTACACTATCTAATTCTGCAAGTTTATTATAGAGTTGCAAGCATTTTCTTTCGTTGAGACTTTTTTCCGCTGGCAAGAATCTAGGGCGTCGGACATAACCAAACCAAAATAATTACACTAAGTGATGATAATTACGATTGAGTCTTACTCAGTCGTTTAAAGAAAATGTTTAATTTAAAAAAAATTACATATTTTCGCGAGTGCGTTTCCTAGGGTCTACATTTTTTCAAAATTCAATAAACACCGTTTCAACAATCTTTATATTTATAGTAACTAGTACTGAGTTAAAAAGTATTCTATCGCTTTCGTTTATATGCTGAATCTATTTCTAACTTCAATATAGATAAATATATATATATCCATAAAGTCTTAAAATTTTTAGAATTTTAAAGGGAATTTATCGATACCATATATTGTTTTGGCCCTCACAGATGTATGGAATGAAGTGAATATACTTGAACGTTTATCGGTTAAAAAACAACAAGCCTGGTTAAAATCTATTGAGAACGGACTCCATGACAAAATTTAAATTGTAAAGAGACTTTATGGACGTCCTATATATTATTCAACATATTTAAACAGTCTAAACATGCTAGCTCTAGACTTACGATCTTTCTCTGAGCTAACTCGCAACCATCAACACCCTTGCCTTCTGTAGTCGAGAGCTTGATACCTTGACCTTTTAAAAAAATGGTTAGTGTGAGTTGTTCGCGCAAAACGCTTCCTCAAAATTCGTCAACCTGCTAAACTGGAAAGTAAACGACTGACCACCGTAGCTTCGTACTTGAACTTGTAGTGTGAAAGCAACACAACTCAAAGTGTAAACAGAGTAATTAAAATCTAATAAAGATTTCCAAAGTGTTCCCGCCTTGTAATTATTCACCATTATTCACACTAAAGAACTCATAAAACAACAATAAAAAATCCTGTCATTTTTTACAACCCGCCACCGGAAATAATTAAATTGAATTGAAGGGGAGCATGAAATTGGGGCGCGTGGGGTTTAAATCATATTTTTGCGTTCAACTCTAAAATTTGAATTTGAATAATGCTGGCTTAAACATCAAATCTAAACTAATACTGACAGCATTTCGGTACTCTCGTAGTATGTGTACCAGGTTATGGTTAGGCCGTAATTTATTCCGATTTGCCTATTTTAGTTTTATTACGACTGCGTGTGTTAGGCCAAGTGAATATAGCCCATGCCCATAGGTTTCAGTCCCTTTACACAACTTGATGTAAAGTAGGCGAACAAAATTAGTTACCTCTATATTGGTATACAAACTTCTGGAGCGCCAACATTTCCCCAACAGTGTTAGCTTGAATTGATTCAAAGCTAGGGATGTAAGTTTCAGAATTTCGAATCGAATCGATTCGAATCAAATCCGATTCGAATCGATTCGAAGCAATTTTCAAAAAAGAGCCGTGATTCTGATTAAAAAAAAATCAATTGAAACAATGCATTCTCCGCGTCGTAAGACTAACGTCACGTTGGCCAGCGAATAAAATCGATTAATTGTTAAAATTGCGCCTTATCGACTATTTATCTATGTCGCCGGGACAAGTTTAACCCAAAGTGACTGGTTTAGACATGTTTATTGTGGCTGCGAGCGAGCTCCGCACGTTTATTTTAGTCGCTTCGTGCATTTGTAATGCCATCGTATGTTTCAAACGTGTATTTCATAAACTGATAGATGCAAAACATCAATAAGAAGTCGAAACCCGGTATCAGAAAACAGGGTAGGCGGCCGACGTCTGTTGTGTGGAATTATTTCTGTACGCCGCTGGAGGAAAATGGCACATTTTACACCTTGTGCTCTGTTTGCAAGGAAAAATTTGTGTATCAAAACACTACCGGAAACTTGCTAAACCATTTACGGAGGAAGCATACGTTTGTGACCGCCTCAACTGGCATTTCAAGCCCTATCCGGCCTAAGGACGTGAAGGATAGGCCTACATGTGAGGACACCTTTGCTCCCCGAAACATTGTTCATGCTGGGTAAGTCAATAGCTTAGGATAGGATTTACATATTTATCCTGTACACCCGTATATTTATCTTTTTGTTTTCTAATTTTCGTCCGCTTAAGCCGCTACATGCTATGAATTTCTGTTAGTTCAGTCTGTCAGTAGTTCTGCCTGTCTGTAGTTTTTGGTGAAACATAGTCCTGTAGTCAGATAGTCTGGATAGTGGACTTTATTCAACAAGTCCTCTTGCAGTCTTGAGATGAGGTTAACCTGTTGTTCTTTTAATTCCAGAACTTCTTCAGTTCAGCAAAGCAGCTTGACTGCCTATTTCAAGCCAATAACTAAGGGTCAGTGTGAGACAATAGATAGATTGATAACTGAAGTTATTGTTGGAGACCTCCGGCCAATAAACCTTGTTGAGGGACAGCATTTTCGTTCACTGATACATCACTTACAGCCAGGCTATGTATTACCCGGGCGTAACACTGTAACTAAACATATTGAAAGGAGGTATAAAGAATGTAAAGAAAAGCTTATTAACATAATAGGGGCCATAAAAGAAAAATCTGTCTCACTTACAACAGACATGTGGACCAGTGCAAGAATGCAAGCATATATAACTGTCACTGCCCATTTCGTAGATCCGAGCGATGGTCAATTACTCAAGTATGTATTGACAACAGAACAGATGGATGAGGCTCAAACGGCAGAAAATATAAAATCAGAAATTTTAAAATCATTGAGTGAGTTTGATATCAGCCCGACAAAGGTGCTCTCAGTGACAACAGATAATGGAGCAAATGTGGTGTCAGCTTGTCGTTCACTTTACGAAGAATATGGTTGGTACCATATTAGATGCGCTGCACATACGATTCAGCTCTGCATCAAAGATGGCTTAAAAATTGAAGAAATATCTCATGCATTAGGTGATTTTAATTTATGTTGAAAAGGTTTATTAACTAAAATTACTTGTCTTTGTAAAAACCTAATTTATGAGAGAAAAAATGCATATTTTTTAATCTGCATAGGTTATTATTTCATTGTAAGCATTTGTATTGTTAAGTGCAATAATTTCTTCGTTTTTGCAGCTGGAGCTCGTCATTTGGTGCAGTACTTTCGCCGATCAACGAAAGCTATGACAACTTTAAGACATCGACATGCTCAGGATGGCACATCTCCTTCAATAGAAATGCCAATCGACGTATCTACAAGATGGAATTCCACTTATGTTATGATAAAAAATTTGATCTCTCATCAATGGACTATTCGATCTGTATTATGTGACCCAACAATTACTCCTAGAACAGCAGCAAGTCACCTGGAATTAGGTGAAACAACATGGAATATGCTTACAGTGCTAGCAGAGATTTTAGAACCCTTCAAGGTAGTGTAAATTACTTTGCATATCTCTTGATATTTGTTAGCACATATATGTATGAAATAAAATTATTTGTTTCATATTTTGACAGGCTGCCTCTGACCATCTTGAAGGTGACTATGTAACAGTTTCCTCTTTGATTCCTCTCACAAAAGGGCTGTTGGGCCATTGTGAGGAAAAGAGAAATGAGGGTGGGACACTATCAGCTATTACGAATGAATTTTGCAACACTCTCATAAATTCTCTCAAACTTCGATTTCGTTCTATACTGGAAACACCCAGTCAAGAAGAGGTCAACTTGTTCCAAAAAGCAACATGGCTCCATCCTTGTCATAAAGGGAAATTTTTTGATCGTTCTTTCAGAGTCCAGGTAATATTCACTTAAAATCTGGTATACCATTGTATTTCTTAAATTTGTGAAGTCAGGTCAAAATTACTCTTTCAAACGCATAGGCTGTGATGTTCCTAATTTGCAACTGTGATTTTTTCTTTTACATGTGTTGGTAGTATTCTGGATTCTGTTGTTCATTGTGTGAGTTATACAAGTGGTTCAACTAACATTATCCCTTTCATATCATTTATAGACTTGTACAAACCCATATAATATTTTTTTTTTGTGTTTCAAGGTCAGAGTTTCTCTAGAAATGGAAGCCACTGAAGCTTCAATGCCAGAAATACAAGATGAAATACACGTTGAACCTTCTGCGGTTACTGCTCCAGAGGTGGAACAAAATTCTCTCCAAGGACTCTTTTCGATAGGGATTGAACAGTCAAGCTCGTCTGAATCGGAAGGATATGCATCTAAAGTGTCGGAGGAAATTTCACAGTACTTGAAAGAGAAATTGGACAGAAATACAGAGCGGTTAAACCCATTATTGTGGTGGCATGCCCGAAAAACTGATTCTCCATCCCTACACAAAATGGCCATTCGGTACTTGGCTATACCGTGTACGTCAGCACCAGCGGAGAGAGCCTTCTCTTCTGCTGGTTTGACAGTTTCCAGATTAAGAACCAGACTCAGTGGTACACACGTAAATGAGTTAAACTTCTTGCACTGCAACCGAAGTTTGATGCAGCAGTGAATGATTGCTAGTTCACCTCAATTGAACATTATTATGCGTGCATGTATTAATATGCGTGTTTACTGAAAAATAACCTTGTGTGTGTTGAATAAAGTCAAAGAAAAAGTGATGTTGTATTAATCAGAATCGATTCGGAAATATTCGATTCGAAAAAAAAATATTCGGTATTCGATTCGAAAAAAAAAATATTCGAAACTTACATCCCTATTCAAAGCCCTTGACAACTGGCCTTTACGACATTCAGTCGAAGCATCGAGACGATGCTTTGAACAAACTTAAAAGTCTTCTATCAGTAGGCTACTCTTTCCTCTTCTAGTTGAGGGCCCGGGACATTGTTTTGAATAGGCTTCTATCCATAAAATGAGCATAAAACGACTTCAAACACTTCATATATTGTTATTTTCATTTTTTATTCTTTGTCTTTATGGGAATTTAGTTAAGGAACCAGAAGCCAATAAATGAAATGCTAAGTCTATGCTTATAAAACCTGGCTAACTATCCTATACCCGATCTGTACTGGTAACCGAACGACATGCCGTGGTTCGTTATACAATTAGGCTGGAACGATCAAAGATATACCCTCTCATCGGTTTTCTTCTCTTCCGAGATTAATATAAAATTCTGACTTATACTTCCATGTGAAATATCCAACCTATGAACTTGCCAAACAAACATCTCTAATTTCACAACTTTAACTCTTAGTCCATTTAAAATCACTAAAAACAAACCGGAAAACCGAATATCGTAACCGTTTTACCGTTGTTATTAGCAGCTGTAAACTTCTAATTGTTCCTGACTAACAAGTGATTGCGAAATTAAGCTTCGTCTGACGCTTTAGCACAAAGAATAAATATAATTGGCTGTAATTGCAAGTAATAGCTAGTGTTCCCATTGGTGTAATAATAACCATTTTTGACGTGTTTTTGGCGCGTGTAACTTGAGTTCATATTCTGTTGTTAGAAATCCCTGTGCAATAGTTTAATTGTCTTTTCTTGTCTGAATTGCATATAGATAAATATATAAACTATAAATATATATATATATATATATATAACCTAATACTGGCAAAACAAAATGATCTTTATAAGTTTAAAAACAGTGATAAACCAAATATGAATTTGATTATATTTATACAACATACATATTTTACTTTAAGTTGGGTTGCGTGAGACTGATCCTATTGCCCTATCCTTTCTGTATGCCTTTATGCTGATGGATCCGTATACGTGTACTGCAAGAATGCTGTAAGCAGGAATAAATATGACTATACTATGCAATTCAAGGGTCCCGCTGCACACTAAAACAAATATATTTCTGTAATGGGAGCTCCCGAAGTATGTGCACCACGATGGCTAACAACCTAAACACAGTATTTGTACCAGGTTAAGGTTCAGGTTGTGCGCCATCTTGGTGCACATACTTCGGGAGCGCCCTGTAATGTTCGCGTTAGTGTGCAGCAGGACTCATTAAATGGATAGAATATACATATATTAGTATGAACTCGCGGAATTGAGTGGAAAGTTGCAGAACCCATTTCTGTCCTGGCGGAACTCTGCTATGCTGACGAACCCCGGCTATCTCCTATAAATCACCATTCGTTATTCTGTACGGAATTTGACTGCTAACTCAATTCTGTCAATGCTCGTAAATTATTATCACCGAAGGGAACACTATTTTTGAAATATGTAACTCATCGCCCGAGGGTTAGACATAACGTGTCTATATGATATAAGATCATGTGGTAAAGTGGATACTTTCAAAAAGTGTAAAAAGTTACTCGATTTTCAAAGTTATTACATCAGTATTTTAACAGTATTATGAGTGAAAAACGAATTCGTTTAAAAGTAACAAATTGGCAAAATGTTAGGTAGTGATAGCAAACTGCTCTATAAACCCAAATTTATCGCCTGAAAGTCAATTTTTTGTCAAGTTTATTTATATCCTTTAATGAGAAGTGCAAACAACTTGTTGTACTGGTCGAAGCTACCGTTAGCTGATTACACAACACGATTATTTCAAGATAAATCTTAGAAAAACTTTGTTTTGGTAATAACAAAAACTGGTTAAGCAGCGTCAGTTGAGTCTCGCCTTGTTTAAACCTTTTTTTTCTACACCTTACATAACGCTGACATAGAGTGAATTGGCACTTTTTCTCTGTAATTATTATATTAATTCGTTGGGCATAACAAATTGAGTTGCTATGAGTTGGAAGTCTGTATTTTCGAGTAAAACAAAAAAATACCTCATGATGATGACCCCATTCGACTGGCTACGCGAATGACCCCCCCCCTCTCGGCAGTAATGAAAAATGCGAGATTTGAGAAAACACGCCGTCACGTTTTAAAATAAAAAATATAGTAATTAACCAGTTTGGGTTAGCACGAGTAATAATTTGATAAATTGAATTTACAGCGCAATCGCAGGCTCTTTACAAAAGATTTGTAGTTAATTGCGCATAAACGCATTACACTCTTTAATGTTGACAGCGACTAAAGAAGATGCTGTCAAACGCTAGTATTTTGATATTACCAAATAAAATAGGGTCTATTTTTCCGTATCTTTCAACGTTCATAAAGACTTAATTGGCACATTGTTACTGGATATCTATTATATTAATTTGGACATAAGTACATTATGAGATTGCATTCGAAAATTTCGAATCGTCGACATCATTTTTTTTTGTCCGCCGAAAGTCGGCAGTGATTTCCCAAATTCCCTAATTTTTATTGAATCTTTTTTTGAATCACAATTTCGAAATATGGGTCTGAACATTTCAAATCGAATAATAAACTATTCGAATCGGCTCCGACTAAAATTTCGAATTGCCGCCATCTTATTTTTTGTCCGCCAAAGGTCGGCTGTGAACCCTGAATTTTTTTTATCTATAAACTCGAAAGCTGAAGAGGGAGACAATAATTTGGAATCCAGGAATTCTGAGTCAAGGAACTTTGCAACTAATTTTCAATCGATTTCAAATTTTCAGTGCTCAAAGATTCAAGAGGTAAAGAAAATGGATTAAGAGAAGGTCATCACTTTGACATTTGAATGAAGTTTTTATGACATCTTAATGAGCATATTATATCCTTCGTATCTATATATAAGCATTGCTCTATTGTTTATCCACATCTTATATAACGTTCATAAAGAGTTAATTGACATTCGTTTCTCTATAATTAACGTGACGCATATACACATCTCAAGATTAGCTACTTTGTGGCAGGCGCAGCGACTACAAATATCGTTTGCAGAATTTCGGCTCCGTGGTGTGGCGCGCCATATTGAGCGTTAAGACTACGCTCGCCTCCGCATTTCTGATTACCCAGCGTAGGTTGGCAGGTTCCAATTCCATGCGGGGTTAATTATGTGCGAGAGGATTGCTGGACTCCTCGCCGCCGTAGGGTGGTTAACGTAACCACTGGTCGTTTGCCTCCGCCACTTATGCAAAAATGTAAGATTTGAGAAAAACACCTCAATCACGATTTTAAATAACAAATTAGTAATTGTCCAGTTTGGGTTAAAAATGATTTTCAAGATTTAAATTTCCAGCGAAATCTGCATTCCTAACCCTATCTGGATGGTAAGACAAAACTTTAGTGCGTTATGCACAGTTGAAATCAAAAGTCTTTGCACAGAAGACAAATAGCTCTAGTATAAAGAGCTATGAGATTGACTATTTCCCAGAGAACTGGAAGGCCGATCTTCCAATTTAAACTTTTTTCCTCCTACCCCCCAGTCGCGGTCCAGTGATTTTGAGTCATATCTCGAAAACGGTAATAGATAGAGATGCCATATTTGGGTTATACAGGGTATTTAAAGTGAAGTTCAAAAAATTTTCGTCACGGTTTAGTGAGCACGGACTTTAAAAGTGATAAAAAGCGATTCTCATCAGGGGTGATCGGTTTATGATCTGGTATTTAAACTATTTAATGAACTGAAGAGGTCGGGGGCACCGCGCCGGACGAATGCCGCTATTAGTCCGGTGCAACGAGCCGAGTCCTCTAACAAACCCCAAACAAACATCTGCTTTTTACTTTACTAAACATATTTCTTTACATTTCCCCTCGCGGGTAGCGTAGCGACCTCCCCTGGATAATTACTACTTTGAGCGTTGGCGTTTTTTTCGGCGGTGGTTTTGTACAAAAGATCCGCTTTTCTCATTAAAACTGTCGATTACCATTAAATAAGACGTATAATATGCGGCACATACTAAGTCGGTAAGTGTTCCATGAAATTCACGCAGATTTAGAATTAATTGGTAATCGAACATAATAATTGTTTCTTTATATTTATTATTGCAATTGGTTGTAAATAAACAAATTGGAAGCGTCGGGAGTCTAAACTTGATTGAAATTATAGAAGAATTGTGCAAAAGGTTTTAGCTACATAGACTACTTATTAACCGGCAAAGAAAATAGATAGATAATGAGTCAAATACCGGAGGAAGAAAAATACTGGCAACTGAGAGTCTGGAGTTGATTTTGGGGTACTCCCAAAGTATGTCCACTAAGATGGCCCACAACCTGAACATAGTATGTGCACCAGGTTGTGCGCCATCTTGGTGCACATACTTCCGGAGCGCCGACTTTGGTGCCGACCCTTGACTACGCCTCCAGATCTGGAATCAGTGTCAGGTTTTGGGAGTCTGAGTCAATGTAAACTACTCTTCTGCTCCACAATCTTGGCAAGATGGATTTTATATGATAAACAGTAGCTTTTTAGGTAAAGTTTTCAATCCTTCACTGACTAAAGCTGTGTACTCAGATACATGTCAATCTAATATACTTTGAAGAACTGGAATCTTTCATGTCCAGTAACGCTTATCTGGAACTATCACAAGCTATATAATGTTTTCTAATTAAAACTGTTTGATTACTTTTAAATAGGGCGTATAATAGGCGACGAATAATAATTTACTAAACGTTCCATGAAATTCACGTGAATATAGAATTTGCCTCTCTATAATTAGTATTGTAATTGGTTGTATGTAAACAAACTGTAAGATTTAAAGTGGTTTTAAGAGAAACTAAAACAGGGTTGCTGGCATGCAACGTTTATTTTAACAATTTCTAAATATGTGACGGAGACAATTAAAGTCGATTTTATTAAGAA